GATTGCTTGCTTGGCAGAGTTACTGAAAACAAAAAGCAAAAAAAAAATAAAATAAAATAAAAAAAATAGAGAGCCTCTTTTGATGTTCAAAATAGTAATGTTGCTTATTGTAGAAGGTTACAAATTTTGGTTTTACCAGTCGCAAGAATAGGGTACATGTCTTTGAGGATGGCATAAATATCATCCGGCTTAATGCCCTTTTTACCCCTCTGAATTTGTATGGTTTGGACATTTAGCCCCCTAAACTCTCAATTTTGGATGTTTTAGCCCCTCTTAGACGGTTCGGCCAACAGCATCGTCAAATCGCTCTCAGACGTGGCATTTCCATGTGGCACAAAAATGCCACGTGGCAATGCCACAACAGCGGTTTGGTCCGACGTGGCAATGCCACGTGGGTCGAGTTGGTCTGATTGCCACATGGCAATACCATATGAGCCGCATGACGGTGCCGTTAGCTCCACTGTCTGCAAGGGCCTAAAACGTCCGAAATTGAGAGTTTAGAAGTAAAATGTCCAAAATTAAAGTTTAAGGGGGCAATTTGCATAACAAAGAAAAGGTAAATTAAGCTTAAGGAGCGAGCAAACCCATTTTAATTCAAAAATCTTAAAAATTGGGATGGAGAGGGTGTTTAAAGTAGCGTTTAATTTCTACAAAATCACAACAAGAACACAAAAACAAAAATACAAAAATAATGTAAAGTAGTAAAACATACAAACTCCTCAGAAACGGCTAAAATTTTGGTGAGCGTCGTAACAACACCAAATAGTAAACTAAAATATCCTATAGACATAGTAAGTTCAGGTTGATTTCATAGAGAGTTGAGTTAACTACTTTACCATAATTAATCCTAAAACTAACAATTTTGGGGGTTTTGTGAATTAAGTGACAATAAAATAAATAAGCAAGAAAATAATAAAATTAAGAAAAGAACAAAGCAAATAAATTCTCCAATCCCAAGCATCGACTATTCAAGTTAATCTAATCATTGAAACAAAAGATATAACATACTCATCAAGATAGCATGCGTAGATTAACAGCAAACGCTCAGTAACTCCATAAATTCACCACAATATCTAATTAAAGCAAACGCTCTTAATTAAGCCTAATTGAGATCCTAACCCTATGGCAAACGCCCAATAGAATTCAAGGTTCAATTGCATTAAGCATAATGAATTATAGCATACCCAAATGACACTCCCAAAACGGGCAAGCATTTAATTTATATCTATGATTCCCTAGTGATTCCTAGTTATCCTTCAATAACTCTCAACCATCTAGTTGCTACTAAATGAAACCTAACTAAACGGTCTAGAATTCCAATTAGCAGTAGATTTATAATCCTAATTAATAAGTTGCGGATCCAAATCAATTAGAATAATAGAATCATAAAGATAAAATATGAAATCATAAAATATCAAGATGAATAATCAGGTTAAGAATATAAATCTCACAAATCAACCTAAAAGTCTAAACATGGAATTGGAGAGAAAAACTGATCTCATATTGATGAAAACCAAGAACAAAGAATATAGAGAAGAGTAAAAGAGGATTCTGTAGAATTCTCAATCTAAGTACAAAGCCCCCCTTTATATAGGGGTTAAAACCTAATCCTTAAATAACTAAGGAAAATAATAAATATCCAATAAATATATTTAAAATCCTAAAAAAAACTAGGAAAATAGCTAACTTTGGACTTGACTTAGCACAAGGGTTATGGAAATTAATTTGATGATGAAATCTTGGAGAGAAAGCTCATTTGAAGTAGGAAAATCAGCTTCAAAACGAATTTTGTCGAGACCTACCCGCACCCGGGCAAGGGTGCCCGCACGCGAGTGGCACCAGAGACTAATTCTTCAAATCTCGCATGAACCCTGAGGCTGGCCGCCCTTGGGTGGGGGTACTCACTCCTGGGTAACATTAGTAACACATCTTCACGTACTTTTTTCTATTTTTGCTACCCAATCGTGTCCAATAAGATCGTTACTTCCATGGGGAAATCTCAAGACATGATTCTTCGCATTAGTTCTCCAAATTCTTCACCAAAGTCACCTTGGTTTGTCTTGTTTTATAATCAACATCTCCAAAAATACCTATAAGACAAAAACAAAGCAATTAAGTATCAATTGAACAAGATAGACATTTAAGAATTATCAAATTAAGCATAAATAATTAAGGTAAATAAGTGTCTATCACAGGACCCATGTGTTTAAAGTTCAGGCCCGATCCAAACTGTGTTCATCTTAAAATACATAATGAAATATAGAAAGTTGTTTGAGTGTCACTGTAATAAGCCCGACAATTTGGATATCAAACTCAGACCCAACATTTTTCAACAACCTATATCATCTTTTAAGAGAGTGATCACATTCTTCGGCTTGGGGACTCATTTTCAAAGACTCCACCGACGTTTGTTAATCAACGACGTCCTTTATGCGACAAACCACTGATTGTCTTTGTTTTGTAACGATTTTCGCGAATTATGTGTATTCAATACTGGTTCACTAGTGATGATAATGTAGGGTTTACAAGGTTTTTAGATTACCTAAGATTGGAGGCTCTTATTTTGCAAAAGGTTTCTTGAGAAATAGCCACTGGATATGTTTGAACTTCAAGGTCAAGTGAAGATATTGAAGAAAAGAGCAAGGTTATCAGTACCGTACCGGAGGGCATACCAATTTCCTTCTGGTACAGGTACGTACCGGTACCGTTATGTTTCGATGTCCCGTTTCGGAATTTTCGTTGTATGTAATATTTTTTAAATATATATTAGAATGAGGTTTATATACATATGTGTGTGTGTGTATATATATATATAATCTCTCAAAGTTAAAAACACAAACAAAGTTTAAATTACAAAATAAGTAATAACACCAAAGTTCACCATATCAAGGATTAGCTGTTGGGACTTGGGATTTTGTTCTTTGATCTTTGGTTAGAAATGTTAGGGATTCAATTTGGGGAAAGTCAGAAAGTGAGTTATAAGTGGTAGGAGGGCTCGACTTGTGTTTCGATTTTGAGATAGGTATTTTTAATTTATTAATTTATTCTATTAATTGATAAAAATTTTAAAAAATGATCTTTTTCAGTATATTTATGTACTGGACAAAACACTAAATTCCGCCCGAAATAGCCGAAACAGACCGAAACACATCAGAACGAGCCGAAACAACCCGAGACAGAGTGGGAAAAAATCTGAACGAAACATAAGGTGTTCCGTCTCGTTATACTATTGGAACGGAACGGTACGACCGGTACCGTAACAGAACTGATAACTCTGAGAAAGAGTGCCTGCTAGCATTGGAAATGTTGTATTTTGGATTTAAGTTGAACTCTCAAACTGTGATGGTGGAGAGGCCCCATATGCGCGCGCTGGGGCCTTGCTGCATGTAGCCTGTGAGCCCCTTGGGCCCAAGTGTGGCCCAAGTGCCTAGCTGCTTGACCTAGTGCCGCACATGTCTAAGGCATGCAGCTCGAACAATGCCGATGCTTTCTCGCACATCCTCGACATGTCCCGCTCATGATGTCTCGCTCGATGTGTCGGAAGGTCTTGGTCCGTGTCACAAGGTATATAAGAATTTGAAATGTTTGTGTACTATTTAGTGTTTAATTTAAATTTTCAATATTGATTTTTTGTTTTACAAAAGTTTGATATGATACCAACACGTTGGGTTGAGTAGAAGGAGCTCAATGTTTTTTAAATAAGGTCTCGGCTTCAAGTCTTGTGAATGGTGAAAAAGGTGCTAGAAGAGTTTCCTCATATAGGGTCCAAGTCTAACACAGCTCGACTCCGAAGTAATCGGGACCCAGTGTCATCACTGGATACCAGAGAGTTTTTTTTAGATCAAATAATTACTTTCATTAATCAATAATTAGAGATTACAAATGCCGGGAGGAATAGTCCCGCACCACACGATTATCCAGCTCAATCTTAGCTAGAGAATAGGATAATACATTGGTTTCCCTATTTACAAATTGAAATGTACATAAATCAACTAGGATTGGCAAATCTCTAATTTCATCTATAACTACCAACATACTAAATACACAAATAAATAAATTACAAAGGAAACTCACATTCCGTGAGAGTAGAACCTAAGATCTCATGGTTCAGGTAGGTATACTGGAACTAAGAATTCAGCACTCTACCACCAGGTAAAAAAAAGTCAAAAAAAGTTTGATATGATCAATGAGGAGGTATCATCTAAATTGTATTTTCCCTGTTATTACAAGGGACCCAAACCCAACAAAGCCTTAACTTTTCATTGTTTTTTTTTTATCTAAATTCCTACTGATTATGAATTAACATATGGCAATCCATTGAGGTTTTTTTTATTCTTTTTTTCCGGAATATATATATATATATATATATATATCCGAGGAAAGTCGAATTATCTAACCGAGTTTAAAGACTATTGCTCGACAATGGTAGTACGTAGGATCCACCGTAATAGTGTAATACTTTCCTCACTACCCCAATCCAAGACCAATAATCTTGAAACAAACTAAACCTCGAAAACTGAAAAAGAAGTCCTTGATCGCACTATCTGTAAACAAAAATAAAGAAGGATATATACTTGCTTTTGACATTTGCTTCACTCACAACCACAAAAACTATCAAGTCAATATGTTGAAATTGAAATAAAATTAGTTCATGTTAATAACTTGCTCTTGATGAACCAAAAAAGCAGTCAAATAATTAATAGTGCTTAAGGATTTTCTTCCGGAATAAGGACGTTAAAGGGTCAATAGCAAAAGAAAAGTAGAGAGCAGCTAATGTTATTTTGGTCTTCTTGAAGATGAATATTTTTTTTCCAACATGATTTTTTTTTGGTACCGAGAAAATACATTGGTAGTTAAGGCCATGAAAATGAGATGAAAGTAGTCGTTGCTGCTTTTGCCATCGAGGTGGTCTCTTTTGCCAATGGGTGCCATCCTTTGAAGTGGTAGATATTCTGGAATTTCCTCCTTAGAAGTAGGATGTCGTCCTGGACTGGGCCTTGCTACCAATTGACAAATGTTAAGCCTTGGACTGCTGCTTTCCAATTGTTCCTATTTGATCTACACCATAAAACATTAGCACCGGCTTCATTGAGTCTTTTAAGAGAGAGTCTTACAAGTAACAGTCTAGCAACAGATTTGTTTGCTGCCTTGAAGCTCTTGGCTATCACCATTGTTTCTCCCTGATAATTCCTTGCTATCATGCTGGTTCCAAACCAGTTGTTTCCAGGTTTCTTATCAATCTCCCAAAAAATCAACCAATGATTCTCACCAAGAAATGGAACACCTTGAATAATATCGTTTCCTCTATGAGTCTCTGATCTCCGTTCTTTTTGTTGTGTCTCTTTCTCCCTTTTAAAAGCTTCCGTGATTTTTGCTGCATAGCCATTGATTCTTTTCCTCTTGGCGTTTGCATCAGGTTGAACTCCCTTGAAAAAGCTCTCGTTCCTCTGCACCCAAATAAACCATAAAGCCAGAACCCATTCCAGTGTAAACCAATTATTTCCATCCATTAGGCAGTCGCTGTTCCTGAGCCATTGTAAGATCCACTGTCCAATATTAACCTCCACAAAAGCTTCCGTTCTAAGTCCCAGAGATGAGCTAAACCAGATTGCCTTTGCAAACGGACAATGCCAAAAAAGATGATCGATGGTTTCCATCCCTTCGTGGCATAAATTACATCTGTCATCAATGTTAAAACCTCTCCTTTTAAGTTCAGCCCTTACTGGTAGACAGTTGTTGCAGATTTTCCATAGGAATATCACCAACTTGTATGGGACCTTCAATTTCCACAAAGTCTTCCATTCTGTTTCTTTAGAGTAGTCCCATTCACCTCCATGGTTTTCCTTACTAATAAGATCATAAGCTGCCCTGACTGAGAATTTACCTCGCTTGTCAAATTTCCACACAAAACGATCTTCCCCCTCATAAAAGGAAGCTTCTTTATGAATTAGCTCATTGAGATCCTCAGGTTCAAGTAATCCTTGCGCCAACCACTCCTGCCACTTATGTTCCCGTAAACAGAGCAGAGATTTGACAGGGATTGCATTGCCATTCCCCTGTTGTAGTTCATGGTTTTTCCTAATTCTCCCATCTTGTATGTAAACTTTGTCTCCCTGTCTTATTTGTACATCCAATCCCTTTAAACAAACATCCCTACCTTCCAAAATGCTTTTCCAGATCCATGTGTCACCTTGTTTTGCCTGCACTACTTCAAAATCCCATTTTCTACAATATTTGCTTCTGAGCTGTTTTGAAGTTAATGCATCTAGCTCTGTGATGATCTTCCACGCCTGTTTGCTTAAGAATGCTCTGTTCATATCCTCAGTCTTCCGGATACCCAAACCACCTACACTTTTAGGTCTACAAACAAAGTCCCAACTTTTAAGATGCATCTTCCTTTTATGGTCATCATGCCCCCACCAGAAATTTCTTATAGTTCTGTCCATTTTGTTGCACACATTGGCTGGAGCTTTAAAAGTGGATAATAAGTAGTTAGGCATACTAGCAAGAGTTGATTTGACTAAGGTCAGCCTTCCTCCCGACGATAACAACTTTGATTTCCACCCTTGTAGTCTCGAGTTTAGCTTATCAATAACTTCCTGGAAGAACACTATTCGTTTCCTTAATAATCCCATATCCATTCCCAAATATCTTCCTGGTTTGTTAACAAGGTTATAGCCCAAAATGCCTTTGAACCATCTTCTTTTATTTTTAGGGCAATTTGGACTAAGAAGTAAATCTGATTTGTTCCCATTGATTCTCTCACCTGATATTCGACAGAAAAGCTTTAGCACATCTCTGATTCTCCTGCAAGAGTGGACATTGGCTCTAAAGAAGAGGTAACTATCATCCGCGAACATGAGATGATTAATGGCATCTCCTACTCTGCTAATCTTTATGCCTTGTATTCTTCCTTGTTCTTGTTCTTTGAGTAGTAGAATTGATAAAACATTTTGACATAGAATGAAGAGATACGATGAGAGTGGATCTCCCTGCCTGAGTCCTTTACTTGGTGAGAATTGTTGTTATAGTCCTCCATTAAGTATCAGTTGAAAATTAACCGTTGAAATACATTGCTTAACAAACTGAATCCACTGAGGTGGGAAATTCATCTTTTGAAGGACAACTTCAATGAAAGTCCAGCTTATACGGTCATAAGCCTTGTTCATATCAAGCTTCAGAGCAGCCAAATAGTCCTTCCCCTTCTTTTTCTTCATAATGGTATCCAACAGCTCACTTCCCAGAATTATATTATCAGATATGTTCCTCCCTTTTATAAAAGCACTTTGGAAAGGGGATATTACCTCATTAAGGATCAATTTCAGTCTGTTGACCATCATTTTGGAGATAAGCTTGTATGTGGTGTTGCACAAGTTTATTGGTCTGAAGTCGAAAACCTCCTCTGGTGTTTTCTTCTTGGGTATGAGTGTGATTAAAGTTCTGTTCATCTCCTTGAGAATGAAGCCAGAATTGAAAAATTGTAAGATAGCTTCTGATGTCAGCCTTCCGACAATATTCCAGTATTTTTGGAAAACCGCAACCGGTTTGCCATCCTAGCTTGGGGCTTTGTAGGGATTCATCTGGGCTAAAGCAGCTTTGACTTCATCTTCCTTGAACGGCCTGTTAAGAATCTCAATATGATCCTCTGACAATGCTGGTATTGATAAATTTTCCAAGACATCTTGAATCTGCTCCATTGAAGCATCATTATGTGAGGAGAAGATGTCTTTGAAGTGATCCAGAAATGCTTTTTCAATATCACCAGGCTCTTCAAAGTATCTTCCATCTTTCCTTTTGATTCTCAGGATCCGATTTCTTGCTCTTCTCTTCTTTGTTGAAACATGAAAAAACCTGGTGTTTCTTTCTCCTTTTACATACCAGTTGGCTCTCGACTTTTGCAGCCAAAGTAGTTGCTCCTGCTCAAGCACAAGTTCCATATCTTTCCTCAGTTCCTTTTCTTTTGTAACATTTCCAGGTGCAAAAGGGTTGCTTTGTACAGCTGCTAATTCACTTTCTAGCCTTTTCTTTCTCTGGGACAAGTCTCCAAATACATCTTTGTTCCATCTCTTCAGTACCTCTCTCACTTTCTTGACTTTTCTTGTTAATTGAAAAGCAGAAGAGCGAGTCACCTGTTGATTCCATGTCTCCTAGATTACATTTTGGCATTGTGGATGGGTTGTCCGCATGATCTCAAATCTGTAGGGGCGTTTTCTGAACTCAGATTTCTTGTCCAACTGCAAAATCAAAGGACTGTGATCCGAAACAGTGATAGGCAAATTCTCCACAAAGTCGTCTTCAAAGATTTCAAACCATTCTGGGTTGGCAAAAGCCCTGTCAAGTCTTTCCCAGGTGTTTACATGCTCTTCTCTTCGATTGGACCATGTGAAATGTAATCCTTTTGACTTTAATTCTGTCAGATTGCATGAATTGAGACAGTCCCTTAAGGTTTCTGCCCCTTGTAGTGAGTTACTACAATTTGAGAGTTTGTCTGTAGCTTTCAGAACCTGGTTGTAATCTCCCATAATAATCCATGGTTGGTTATTTGGGATGGTTGTACTGATTGAAAGAATCTGTTCCCACACTTGGTTTCTGTGTTGGAAATCAGGCGCCCCATAAAGACAGGTTAGCCAGAAGGATCTGCCACTGTGCTCAATATACAGGTGAACAACATTCTTATTCAAAGACTTAACCTTCACTACAACCTCATCATTCCAACAAAATAAGATGCCTCAACTAAGACCCGAACTAGAGACACCCTTAAAATGAGGCAAACCCTAACCCCGAACCAACTCACTAGCTCTACATACACTAGTTTTGGTTTCCATTACAAAGACAAAACATAAATTAAACTTCCTAATAAGGTCTCTACCATGGTTAATAGTCAGAGGGTGACCAATTCCTCTGACATTCCAGCTGAGAAAACTCATATTTGCTTGGGAGGCTGATCCGGGACAGCCTGCCTAAGCCCTTCAGTTGCTTGAGAAGTTGAAACTTCCCCATTCACATCTCCTGTGACTGCAAGATACTCCAATCTCTGTCGAATAGTTCTGCTCATTTCAGTTTCTAAATTTTCATTCTCATCTTCATCTCTTTTTCTCTTCAAATTATCCCTTTCTTCTACTTCTGCTTGAGGTTGAGTAGGAGATGGTGAATCCCTTAAGAAAGCAGTGACCACGTCAATCTCATTGAGGTTGTAGTTCTCCTCAACTGGTTCAGTAGTTCTAGGAGTTAGCACAGTTTGGTTCCCCCTTATGTCACCAGCTGGTCCAAATGTGCCATCAAGATTACTATTGTTGGCTCTGATATTGAAGACCTGTAGACTCTCGCTGATTCCATGAGCATTTATGCTCTTGTCAAATTCCATTTCCAATTGGAATAAAAACTCTTGGCGACTCAATGAACTTTGCTCTCTTTCCTGCCCTCTACTTGCTCCCATGGCACTAGATTCTGCTTGATCTCTTTGTCTGCCAGTGGTTATTCTCGCATTAGTGAAAAGGATTCCTCCACCAGGAAAGTTAATCCATCTTGGATCATTTGAGGTGGGTTGGATAAGAGGGTCATTGTGGCCCCTGTTCTGAATATCTTGCATCATAGCATGCCCATGCCTCACAACCTGTCTGCATATCTCTTCGAACCTGTCTTTTTCTTCTGCAAGAGCTGCTCTCATTTCATGTATTTCAGCCAAAGTGTGAGGCCCTCCTGTGTTGAAATAATTCTGGATTCTTCGGACTCGGTTTGCAGATTCATTGAAAGCTTCTGCAGGATCAAAATTTCTATTAAGAGTGGGCAAATCAATATTGGGTGGTGGGATTGGTACCTCCTGTGGGTTATTGAGTTGCTGTGGCAGATTGATCTCCTGTGTGGTTCCCCCATTTCCTGACGGTAGTTGGACAGTGTTGCTCAGCTCTTGGGAAGCTGGAGCTTCAGTGGTTGAGGGGATAATTGCTTGGATGGGGTCGGCCACAATAGGTACTGCAACATTTCCATTAGGAATGTCAACCCCATTGTTAATATTTTCTTCCTGTTCATCTTGAATCTCAAATCGAGCTTCCATGTCATCTCTGTCATCCTCATCTGGTGGGCCATTGTAGCCTAGTAGTCGACTTTGTCTAGGACTCTGTGGTGGAGGGGTATTGTTGTTTCTGTTTCTGTTTTGTTGTTGGTCTCTTCTGTCCCTATAAAAAACCCTGGTGGTTCTTCTGCTGTAAAATGCACGGATATATTGATCATATAGAACATTTTCAGCATCATGGAAAATGGGGTTACCTGTCCTATAGGCCATTTCATTCAGGTGCCTATCGAGCATTCTCTCTATTTCTTCATTATCATATGGACTGTTGGAAAAACTATGGCTCAGGATGCCACATCTAACACAATGTTTTTCAAGTCTTTATATCTAAAACGCACCCATTGCACCACACCATCATCACGTTTTAGAAAAGTACCTGGAGAGAGGGTTCAGCTGGCATGATTCTTACCCTAACTCTCTTGAATCTGATGTTTCTTTTTCTAACATTTTGCCAGTCGACTCTAACCACATCCCCTGCTACTCGTGCTAGCCTTCTCGCTATATCTGGCTGTTGGTATTCAAAGGGAAGATACCAGAGCTGCACCCACATCTCCATATAGATAAGTCTTATCTCGCTTTGCTTCCTGTTTGGACGCCAAGGGATTGTAGCCAACAGTGCCTTGTCAATCGATCAAGGGCTTTCTTTGAGAGCCACTTCTCTGTCCACATCGTTCTCCACATGAATTAGATAGCGATCTCGATCTCTACCCATCACAGTAGTTTGGCCCCTGAGCTCCCAATCTCTGTTGATGGCGTTCTGGACTCTATTGGTTGAGAACTTTCTGAAATCCACGAGGATGCCCACTACACATTGATTTGCCTCTTCTCTGGCTTGGGTAAGTTGTTGAGAAGTGACCTCTTCTCTTATGCTTCTTCTTCCTCGCATCCGTGGGGATGGTGGAGGATCGAGTCCCAAAAAATTGGACTCAGCACTGCTGTCGTTATCCTCAGATGAGGTGCTGCTGCTGGTCCAACTGCACTCTCGCATAACTCGCACTCTATTTTGGGGTCTTTGGTTATTCATTGTTTGGAAAAGTTTTTGTCTTTTGTGTTTTATGGTTACTGTTGTTTCTGAATGAAGAATGAAGGAACTGAACTTCCTTTTAAAGATGGATTTTGGGGTTGGGTAGCGATTCATCTTCTGGGAATTGGCTGCAGAGACAAACCTTCTTTGATGGAAATGATTATCATTTACTTCGCGGGAGACCCAAAGGCGGCTGGGCGCATCCACGCCAAACGTACCATGTTGCAATTGGTTTAGATCGCGCCTGAAGAAAAAAACTGAAGTAGTAGTAATGGCTAGACTCACGCGTGCACCACTTTAAGATCTGGGAAAAAGGTTTTGCAATAAATGTTGGCTTAGATTTGCATAAAATGTTGGGTATTTGAAATGTTAAGAACGGATAAATTGATTTGGGTTAGGTTTACGGTAAGATTCTGGTGAGAACCGGCGATGCTCCCTATGGGAGAAGAGCTCTCGTTTTTCGAGAGAGAGAATTCTTTTTTTTTTTTCCGACATGATATAGAAATGAGGTATAGAGGTAGTTCTCTCATTTCCCATATAATCCCAATCTGTTTATTCCAAGATTCGAACCTGAGAATTTTTATAAAAAGTCCCAAACTTTTAACCATTGGGGTGCCCGTTGGAAACTGAATCAAGTTAGTATATATGGCGTAGACGCGTAATTCACAAGTCAATTATTCACGCCCAGCTGCTGCAAATGGCAAACCACTATAACCACTCGTACATATAATACTTACGTACCACCACCTATATGCTATGAAAATTTGTGGTCGTGGGTCCTGCAATGGAAGCTTAATTAATTGTTGAGACTCAAAACTGATCACCTGAAAATGGGCATTAATCAACACTTCTTCTCCCTCCTAGATAGGTGACACCATGGACATACCTAGACTGAAAGTTTATTGTAAGAATGTTCTAGATTGAAAGTTTTACATCAATATTGAACTATTGAGGGGAAGAGAAAGGACAAGAAGAAGGACAAATTGACATTGAAAGCTTCGGGCCTATTTATAGTTTTGCCTTTTTGTCCTAAGTTTTTTTTATGTCAATTGGGTCATTTTGATACATGCACCTAATTATCAAATTTGATATAGTTAGTGAATGAGATTCATTCATAACCACGTGCGTACGTGGACGGACCGAGTGGAAGAAATTCATTATTTCTTAAGCTTCTTAAAATTAAAGTAGGTCTCAAATTAAACTCTTGTAAACGATCGAAAAAAAAATAGAGAGATTTGTTTAAGTTCAACTTGGCTGATCTTGGATTTAATCAAAGTCTAAAATGAAATTATCAGGAGTTGATATTCCAAAAAATAATATGAGAAAATTCGTTTTTATATAGGTCCCTAAACAAAAATATGTAGAATTTAAAAAAGCTTATAAAACCTTCATTGACCCGAAAGGCTTAGATTCTATCTTTACATTATATCAACTTGAAAAATGTACATATATATATATATATATATATATAAGAAATTAGAATAAGTATTTGATTGTTTCCTAACCCTTATAATAATATTATTATAGCTACTTTAATTTTATTGTACTGTTTTGCCAACTTAGATTGAATTTGAAGATGGAAAACGCGGGAGAGACCAGACTTTCGAACATGGTCTCACCCGTGTTGTTCCCGCGCACCATCCCTAGCCAAGACCCTAGCTATAACCAGAAATAACCACCAAAACTTCTAGTACAATATTTAACCAAAATTACCTAATAATTCATTAAAGCATATATAGGATAGCATCATCTTTAAATTTCCAATTCAAAGAAGAATGGATATGTAGACATAGAAATTAAAAGCAACTGGTTTATAATTATATATATGATAAAAATCATAAATAATTTACAAAGAATAATGTAATGTAAAGAATGATATGAAATACCCCAAAAAAAAAAAATCCCTCACATACAAAGCAATGAAAAAATGGAGGAAACAATAACCCAAATCACTGCATCATAATTCGGAATTCCTCAAAGCTGAGAACGCCATCACCATTGAGATCAAATTGCTTAATCATAACCTTACATTCATCAATGGACTTGGATTCCCCAAGTTTGGCCAGCATTTTCTTGAGCCCTTTGGGTGTGATGAACCCACTTCCATCCACATCGTACATCCCAAAAGCCTCTCTCAAATCCTTCAACTTGTCTTCTTCACCTCCTTCTTCCATTAACCCTATCAGATCCTCCAAGTCCAGCAACCCGTCTCCATTCGACCCCAACTCTTCGATGGCATCTTCTGCTTCTTTCAGCATCAGCTCACAACCCATCTGCCCTAATCTTTGGCACAACTCTTCCGCTGAGATTTTCCCATCTCCATTTTGGTCGAAATAACCCATAACTCTCTTATATTGCTCTTCAACTTTCATCATTCTCATCACAAAGCTAATAAAGCTATTACAAGACTTAACGAAAAAAAGAATTAGACAACTGGGG